TTTTTAAGAAACATTTGTATTTCATTTTCTGTGAACTTTCTGACACATACTTTACCAATTTTTTACTTGATTGTAGTTTTTCCATTAGAATTTCTAGGAGTTCTTTATATATTAGTGTGGTCTCACTTTAGATACACGGTCATGAATCTCAGGAATTGCTGTTGCCCAGCAACCCTACTGTTTCCCTAATACATTCATCCTTTCATTTTCCCATGGTCCCAAGTAAGTATTTCATAATTTCTCTTTTCTCCTCAAACTTCCAACAACTTATCCTACATACTCACTTTCAGGCTGTATTCTATTTCACTAAGAAATATCAATGCCCTTCAGCCAAGACCACCGGCAACACACCTGTAGTTGAACAACATTGGGTTTGTTGCGTCATTGCAATGAGGGTGAAAGCACACCACAGAGAATCATGAAGACACCTCAGTTAAAGGGTATTAAAAAGGATTTACTATAGGATTTGGGTTTGTGTTAGCTAATTTGGGGGGAGGATTCTAGAAGTGGGGCTTTCTTCTGGATTATATGTTGTCAAAAAGTTGCAGTAATTCTGATTGGGTGTGTTAATAAATTCATCTTATTTAAAAGGTGGGAGGAACTACGTGAGGCTAACGTTGTGATTGGGGAAGAAGAGAAGTCAAGCATATTAGCCAGCATAGTGGGGGGGGGGGGGTTGGGGGAGAGGTGAGGGAGGGATATGTGGTCACTTTTACGCTTTGAACTATGTCCACATTTTTGTCTCTGTTTAGACATGATTATGGAGTAGCCTTGATTTTTGTCTTGCTCTATCATGGTTACAGAGTGGGTGTTTTTTTTTTTTCTGTTTTAACATTGGTGTTGTGTGAAATTTTGTATGTTTGACAGAACACCATGGTCTGGCTGTCAAGGTCTGCTTTGAAGCAATCAGAAGAGAACTTCCACAGACTCACCTCACCACATCCATTCAAGTACATGCACTAGTGCCCATATTTTGTTTCTTGATACTAAGGATGCACAATCCATGTTCCTTTCCGAGGCCAGCCTATCCAATTGCATATGACATCCTACCCCTTTTCCTATTCAAGCTCTTCACTCCTCTCTCTCCTATATCAGTAATTTTACCTCTCATGAGTACTCCCATGAGTATTCAAACATGCTATTATTGTGCCCATCTTAAAAAACACACAAAATTTTTAAAACAAAGCGAAACAGAGGACAAAGGACTCAGCCTGCGTCTTAAGCGTCTCCCTTTTCTACCCCCTCCCTGTCCCCACATTACCTTTACCTTCCTCTCTACTAAGTTCCAAGGGCCCTTTTGCCTCTGTAACTCATTTCCTGAACCCATTTCCTCTAAGACTCACTTCTACCTCTGTGACTTTGTAAATAAACTTTCTCTTATAAAACAACAACAACAAAACAACAAAGCAAAACAACAAGTCCTGTTTTGATTCTACTTTCCCCTCTAGCTACGGTCCTATTTAACTTCCTCATTTAGAGCAAAACTTAATTGTTTCTATATGCTGCCTTATACTCCTTTTCCTTTCTCTTGAATCTATTCTCTATTGAAATTGTTATGTCCAGTTCATTAATGACATCCAGATTGCTAAATGCAGAGTAACACAGAACCGTTCTCAGTTCTCATCTTACTTGATCTATTAGCATCTTTGATTTTCCAGCCTCCTTGAAATCCTCTCTCTGGCTTTAGGGTAAAGTCCTCTATCTCATTGACCATTCCTTCTCAGAGTCTTTGCTGTTTCCTTTTCATGTCCTCAACTTCTATATCTTGGAGTGTTCCTGGGACAAGTCATTGGATGTTTTTACTGCCTACCTTTAGTCACCTGGTGACCTCACCCATTTTCATAGCTTTAAAAACCAGTGTTATTATGATCATTCCCAAATTTACAATCTCTGATTTTCAGGCTTATATATACAAGTTCCCACTCCACATTTCCTCTTAGACATCTAATTGGCATCTCAAACTTAACATATTTAAAACTCATAGCTCTCCTAATTGTCCTTCTCTGAGGCATTCTTATCACAGTAAATGGCTGATCTATCCTTTCAATTGTCCAAGCCAATAGCTTTAGAGTTGTCCTTAACTTTACTCTCTCATACTGCACAACCAATCCACCAGGAAATCATTTTTATTCTTCTTTCAAAATACTGTACATGCAGAATCTGACCACTTCTCACCACTACTGTTACTACCACACCGGTCCAAATCATCACCTCATCTATGAGTTATTGCAGTAGGCTTTGAATTGGTCTCTTAGATTGTATTATTTCCCCTTTATAAGCCCTGCTTCTAGCATTTGTGGAGCGTGGGCCAAGAATACAAATGGATGCCCATGTTTGCATACATTTTTAAAAATTATAAATAACAAATTTAAACATCTTCTACTTTCCTATCTTGGCAAATATACCTCTACAAAGACCTGAGAGACCAGTATAAATTTAGAATTCTTGGGCTTCTCAGAGTTCTGTGTCAGGAAGTAAGTGATGTAGAGAGAACTTCCCTGACCACCAGCCTGCAACCTGCTCTTCTTCTATTCCCAGCTCTGGTTCCACTCCCCACTGCAAGGAGCACTGTGTTCATGTATGTGGACACCCCAGTCTACATGTCCAAGCTTCGTCCTCACCCATTACAAACAGCCACCTGTTGGAAACTCCACTGCCTGAGCATGTGCACACCAGTGATGTTATCCACTCTTGGAAGAACAAACCCTTGGAGGAGGACTTTGAAGTTCCTGGAAGTGGATTTGGGACAAGTTGGTCAAGGAATTCCAGGGTTCTCACTATTTGGAGTGTGATCTTGAAAGGGAGGTTGTGGCCAGAGGAGGCCCAGAGTAGAGCCCTCAAAAGTAGTTCAAGGCAGGATCTTTCTTATCTGGATGTTAGGTAAACTCCCTTTTACTGTCTGTAAGGGGAAAGGACACCCCTCTGTCTACAACCTCCTTATCCCAGTAGCGGTGGCACTCGGAGGGGTTTTAGAACCTGAGCAGAGTCAAGAGGGTGTAGAATGGAGGGACTGTGATGGCTGGGCAAGGTTGTTAAGGTGGGGTGGATGAGGAGGGAGCCTGTGCAGGGGGCAGAGTTTAACACTGCACACTGAAGAAGATAGGGCAGCTAATTGTAACGTGATTTGGGGCTAGATTCTCTTGCTATAAAGGACATTATTGGGACAATTGGTGGAGCTTTAATGGGGTGTGATAATTAGAAGGCAGTGATATAATGTTAATTTCCCAGTTTTGTTGGTCATATGATTTTAAATATGGTTTAACTTATTTATATATTAGGAGAATGTCTTTGTATGTAGGAAATATTCACTAAGGTATTCAGAATTGATAGGGGATGATGTTGATAATTTGCTTTCAAATGGTTCAGGGAAAAGATTGTAACATATTTGCAATTTTTCTGTAAGTTTCAATTTGATTCAAATTTTAAAAATTTCCTTTGAAATACTTTAAAAATACTTTGCATAATGACCACATTCAACTTGAAGCATTGAAAAGATACTGGCAATATTCAACTCCTTCAGTCCAAAGTAGAATTCTTGGTGTGGCTTCCAGTTCAAAGAATAGGTAGTCATTTTCTTCAGGCTATTCTTATACATGATAGTGAAGAAAAACGCAGCTTATGCTAAGTTTTGCAGGACAAGACCCTATCCTTTCTTGAATATCTTATTAGGTAATTTGTCCTTTAGCATGTCATATATATTATAAAAATATACTCCATATCCGACTTTCTGTGGAACTGGATTTGACTTTCTCCCTCCCCATCAAACAAACAAACAAACAAACAAAAAAATAGAAAAAGAATCATTGAACAGTGAGTGGTATATCCTCTATATAAATGCAATAATTGTTAATATTTTATTCTCTCTCTCTCTCTCTCTCTCTCTCTCTCTCTCTCTCTCTATCTTAGTCTATTCAGGCTGCTATACCAAAAATACCATAGACTGGGTGGTGTAAAGGTCAAACATTTATTTCTCAGGATTCTGGAGTCTGGAAGTCTGAGATGAAGACACCAGCAGATTCAGTGTCTGGTGAGAGCCCACGTGCTATTGGTAGAACGCATCCCTATTTCCTCACAGGGAGAAAGGGGATTAGGTGTCAACATATGAATTTCCGTGTGTGTGTGTGTGTGTGCCATAAATATTCAGTTTATGGCATCTATCTTTGTTGAAGCATTTGAAATCAAGTTGCAGACATTCGTAACACTTCATTCCTAAACACTTGAGCACAAATTTTCTTTTTTTTAAAAAAAATATATTTTATTGATTTTTTACAGAGAGGAAGGGAGAGAGATAGAGAGTTAGAAACATCGATGAGAGAGAAACATCAATCAGCTGCCTCCTGCACATCTCCTACTGGGGATGTGCCCGCAACCCAGGTACATGCCTTTGACCGGAATCGAACCTGGGACCCCTCAGTCCGCAGGCCTATGCTCTATCCACTGAGCCAAACCGGTTTCGGCCAAATTTTCTAATAATAAAAATATTTTCCAACATAACCGCAAAGTATTAATTATTCATAAATGAATATCAATAAATGTATCCACAAATCATTATTTCAACAAACTCTAATATACAGTTCATATTCAATCTTCCTCAATTGTTCTAGAATGTTTTTCATAGCTGCATTTCTGGAAACCAGGATTTGCAATACCCAAGTCGGTAACTCCAATCCCTTACTTGGAGGAACAAGACTTGGTCATGCAGTTCACTTTTGTGCACGTTGGAGCGGGGTATGTCTTGGAGGTACAGGAGTTTGAGGTTGGTAGGTAGGGAGGACCAGGCTCCTCTGGGATCGGATCCCTGGTACAGACTGACTTCCAAGCTCACAAATCAACATTCATCTTCAGGGGCTGGCCGGAGGCAGGGGTCCTCTTCTTGCCCCAGAGGGCGCGCAGCGCAGGCAGGACCCGCGGTGGCCGGGGAGACGGGCGGGAGGGCGGGGCGCAGGGGGGCGCGGGGCGCACGGTTGGCGCCTCTCCCGCGCGGGGCGCGTGCGCGGTTCCGCGGCCGGCGGCAGAGGGAGCCGCGATGGAGGGTCCTCCAGACTGTCCGCCCGGTAAGTGGCTCCTCGCAGGGTCGGTTCACTAAAGAGAGATTACCCAACTTTCCTTCGCGTTGGCTGTTGGAACCCACCCCCTTATATAATTTCTCCCCCCCCCCCTTCTCGTTCTTTTTGGAGAACCGGGGAAAAGTGTTCCCAAGGAGAAGGTTTCCTGGGCTCCTGCGGAGCCTGTCCCCTCACGGTCACGGTGGAAGGTCTGCTTCTCTGTGTGCGGAGGGCAGGAATTTGGCCCTGACTGCCCCATCCAGATGTCTAACTCAGTCACCCCTGGACTCCGGGTTCCATTGTCGCTGTTCTGACCCGATGTCACGTTTGACCCAGCCTCACCCCCTTCCCTTAACTATCAGCTCCAGATAAGGGGCTCAGACTAGAGAGTTTAAATCACTGTGCTGCCAACCACGTTTTTGCTTTCATCTAGTTTTGTTTAGTACCTTCTTTGGTAAATGGAAGAACTTGTGGATTAATTTTAAGAGTGAAAGCCTACTTTTGTTGCAGGAGTACCTGTATTTCTGAACACTATCCTCACCCTGGGAAGGAAGATGAAGGTCCCATTGAATACCTTGTTCAAGATCCCAATGAAGTGTGTTTTGAGAAATAAAATGAGTGCCTTGGTCACTATGAGTAATGTTTGGAACTCTGATGGGAATAAGGAGTGTCTTGGCAAGGACTATTATTATGGCTTTAGTATATGTCGAGACATGTGTGACCTTAATTTATATTCTGAGTATCTGGGAAGCAAGAGAGTTTCAGAGTTCTTTACCCCAAAGGCACAACTCTTAGGCAGCGGCCCAAGCGTCGGTAAAAATGTGCAGATGGCTCCAATTGTTGACAGGAGCATTCACTGTTAAGACGACTGTGGCAAGTTCAGCCAGTTCTGATCCTTGGGTCCTTTCCTTTGTCAGGAACATCCTGGGCAGGATTTAGGAGTAGGTCTCCAGGGAGCCTCCTCATGTGCAATGGTGGTGATGCTGTCCACCTAACAGCAAGTTTGTCCATCAAACTTCTAACAGGAGTTTGAAGAACCCAAACTCCTATTGCTGTTCACTCAGTCGTACCCAAGTTGCTACCCAGGTATTCAAAGGGTTTTGAAGAGAGGTGACCTCTTCCAATACCATGACATCTGATAAAGGATTGCGGGCAGGGAGGCCATGTCCTCCTGCAGGCGTGATGTGCCAGAGGGCCCAGATTTGGTTCTATTCTACAGAAAGGAAATCTTGGTGGCTGTGCTGAGCTTGCAAGGTGTTTCTTCTAGGACCCGAGGCATAACTGGCAGCTTGGGATGGACAGCCACAGTTCTCTTTGGCAGAGAGTCCAGTATGCTGGCAGTAATTGCTGCTCTAATGGCATAGAGTATGGGGATAGTTTCTCACATCAGAGGGCTGTGGACAACTTATGGACGTTATGGTTACTTTGTGGAGTTTAAGAACCCCCAGGTTTAGTTGAGTTTGATTTAACCCTTTGCTGTGCCACACAGGTGCCATAGGAGCTTTTCCCTGTAACCCTGAGGATTTTTGTTAAACAGAGACATGGGTGGCAGCAGCAGCAGAGGTATTTTAAGAGCTGTGTGCTCTTATAATGGCTGCGCCCCCTCCCCCTGCACGCCTCCTCTTTCTCTCTTCTCTCTTCATAATGACTGCTCTTTCATGAGTGACCCACCTGATGGGCCCATATCTTGCATAGGGTATAGCCTTTCCCCTGAGTGCTCTATAGGTTGGGGGCCAATGCCTGGTTGAGACATCTGATCCATTTATTTAACTCAATCGTTTGAATAAACCAGAATTAATTTATCAATTTTCTTATCAGTGGACAGTAAGTTATTTGCACTTTTTTAGTATTACAAACATGGTTGACTCCATGCGCACATTAAATTGCTGGGTTATACCCATTTTTAGTCTCTACTAAGCATTGAACATTATTCTCCCAAGAGGTTGGACCAATTGTCATTCCCATTATTATTATTATTATTTTTTACTGTTTAACTCTTCCTCTAGTTGACTGAAGTGCTGGAGACTAAGGACCTTGTTTTATACACTTTTGAAGCCCTAGTGCCAACTAAACTACCTAGCAAATAGTAGTAGTTGGAAAATATTTGTTGTACATGTAAATGTATGAACTATGGAAGCAAAACATATTAATTGCTGTTTTTCAAAAGCTTAAATATTATCCTTTTCAAGTTAATTGACATATTTTGAACATTAACTCTTTTCTTTTTAAAATGGACATTTCTCAATAAATAATTTAAATTGATTGATACTTATTTCCAGGTAATAAATGAAGGAGAGTCAAACATTGCCACCGAGTCACCGGAAGAATTAGAGGAAAATCCTAGTCCAGTTGCGGATGAGAATAATACAGTGTCAGCTAAAAAACAGGGGCCACATGGACATAACTGGAGTGGTGACTGGAGCTTTTGGGTAATATTTTTTTCTTATATCTTCATTTTAATCTTAAATGCAAAATTTTATAAGTTTGCAGCAATTCATATATTATTTATAGTATTTTTTATTAGCGTCTAGATTTTAGATATTTGTCTTAGCCTTTGAATCCCAAAACCATTTCCGAGTATGCCCTCCTTTGGCCACTAGAATGCACTGTTGCCTGGTTTGATGGAGTGGAATTATGTGCTTCAATTTTCTTGGGAGAAAACTACACCACAGAATTGGATCCCACTCACTGTATTGGCAAGAGTCTAACATTATATAGAAATCGTATTTCTAAATGTTACTGAGAAGCCAGCTATTTTACATCATTTTAATTTAAATAATTAGTTCCTGTACCTAAAAGGAAATGTAACTATGTTTGACCTGCAGTGTATAATGATTTTGAGATTGGTTTTAGTTTCGTAGCCTGTCTGCACTGTGATCACTTGGTTGCATACCTGGATCTGCTTCAGGTTTCCCCACTGTAAACTGAGACTACGGCTCCTTGATTAGGTGCACAGAGTCTTTTGGTAAGAACATTTCTGTTACCATATGAATGCTAGCATTTATTATATTAGAGGGCTCATTCTAAATCTAACAATTCCTGTGAGAATTATGAGTCATTTGATAAACTAATGCAGCAATAAGTGAATTTTACATAAGAGTATAAGGCATATATAGTTCCAATATTAATTTATTAGGAAGCTGATATCTTGAGGATTAGGTATATGTATGTGGTAGCAGAATTTCTAATAATTTTAGAGTAGACAAAAAAAGACATATTGTTAACAGGTTATAAGGATTAGTACAAGTACCATCATTCTGTTCATAATTAGCAGCCCAGTTATTGAATGTTATTGAATCTTCAGGTTAATAACAGGTTCTTACTTCCTATTAAGAAGGAAAATATTTTATTGCTAAGAAATATATCAAAATAACCACATACCCTAAAAATTATATCATCTACATTTGATTATATTATTTTTGGACACATTTAGAGAAAGTTTATGACTGTTGTGTTTTGACCCTTCTGCACTCTGCTTTTTATATTTGTTATAGATTGGGAACCTTTATAGTTCCAAGGGCTATGTATAGGGCTAAATAATTACTGTGGTTACTCTTTGCAGATTTGATGCAAGAAAAAAGGATAAAGTAAGAAAAGGAAAAGGCAGGGGAATAAGGATTTAGAGATGGAGAGTGGGCGGGGGGAAGAGGTATGTAGCTTTTCACCTCAAAGTGTAGAATGTGGAGCTAGAAGATTTGGCATCACATGTCAGTTGATTAAAAATGCAGAATCCTGGGCCCAACCTCAGACCTACTGAGTCAGAGTCTTCATTTTCACAAGATTTCCAAGGGATTTGTATGCACATTCAAGTTTGAGAAGCACTGCTTTAGAATGTTGAAGGTTTATTTTGGCTCAGTTTTAGTTTTCTTTGATGATGGCAAGCACTTTATTTTGAGCAATTTTTAAAAAAAATTTTTTTTAAATTGATTTCAGAGAGGAAGGAAGGGGGGGAGAGAGATAGAAACATTAAAGATGAGAGAAAATCATTGATCAACTGTCTCCTGCACATCCCCTCCTGGGGATCGAGCCTGCAACATGGGCATGTGCCCTGACCTGGAATCGAACCCTGACCTCCTGGTCATAGGTTGTTGCTCAGCCACTGAGCCACACCAGCCAGGCTTGAGGAATTTTTATATGGATTCACATGAAATAGACTTAAAGACAAATACAACATCTCAGAAGTTTTACTGACTTTTCCAGAGGTCACTTACACAGAAACCAGAACTATCGGAACTCAGAAGCAAACAAAAATAAAAAAGAACCTGAATAGCTAAATCCAAGCTCATGGTGGTATATATTGCGAGAGGAGAATTCCTCAAGTCTTCATTTGGAATTTCTTTAATATATTTTTGACATATTTTTATACACCTAGTAAATAAGTTGGTCCCTTTTTTTTTAGTTGAATAGAATGCTGGAAATAAGGGAATTACTTTGGGATAATACATAGACACTAGCAAGAAATGACAACAGAAGCTCAAAAGCTGTAGCAGCCTTAGCCTCTTAATGTGGAGGACAGAGGTCTGTGTAGACAAGTGGCTCTATTGTAGTACAACTATAACGCTAAAAATGACGGTTAAGAAGTTTGCAAAATAATGCACTTTTCTGCCACTTTATTTTTTTTTTCTCTCCTCTGTAATTTTAAATCCATCTACCTCTACCACTGACTCTACAATAAAAACCTCTGAGCATACTCAACAGGAAGATGTTACATGGCAACACCTTTCCTTAAGACGGTCCCAGTGATTAAAAGGTTGAAAAGTGCTGAATAAGAACACTTTTATTTGTAATATTGGAAAATGTATTTTCATGATTCCTCATAATTAAAAAATTGTGAAAACTTAAAAAAGGATACAAGAAAGTGAACCAAAGTTTATTAAAGTTCTGTTTTTTGTTTTGTTTTTTTTTGCAGAGGTTGACATCTTTTAGACCCTGCCCATTTAACCTTGTGCTACTTAACAGATTGGCTAGTGTCGTTCTGACAGTAGGACTTTCATTTAAAGGAATATGATTAACTTTTCATAGCAATTGATAGTGAGACCCACAGCTGCAGATTTTCTATTTCAATCCTGTAATATAAAGATAGGAATATCGCCCTAACCGGTTTGGCTCAGTGGACTCAAGGGTCCCGGGTTCGGTTCCGGTCGGGGGCATGTGCCTTGGTTTCGGGCACATCCCCAGTGGGGAGTGTGCAGGAGGTGCATGATCGATGTTTCTCTCTCGTCAATGTTTCTAACTCTCTATCTCTCTCCCTTCCTCTCTGTAAAAAAATCAATAAAATATATTTAAAAAAGATAGGAATATTAATTGTTATATTTGTTTTCTTTTTTATTTAAAAATGAACATATTTAATCCTAGTGTGTGGGAAGTGAGTTACATTATGAATTTTTAAATCCTAATGTCACAATAAAAATTTTGTGAAATGAAGAAATGAGATTTAAAATGAAGTAATGGCAAATAAATATTCATGCTTTTGCCCTTTAACTGTTAGTAAACATACATGGCAAAAGAAAAACAAAAAACCTCCAAACCAAACTTTTGTTTTCCCAATTAAAATAATGGTATATTCCTGGTGGATTAAGGTCCCAGAGGAAAAGCTTACAGAGATCTGTGGCAGATACATTTGTTTAGTGTAACTTCTCTTAGTAACTTCTCTAGCAACTGTTGGGAGGAGAAAAAGCCTTTGAGATTTTCTGTTGTGTATGTTTAAAAGATGACATACTTACCTATGTATTTTATAAAAGTAAAATGCTTTGGGTCAGGTACTTACATTAAACATTCATTTATACCTACAGGCCCTGGTTGCGGCCAGGCTTAGGGACCCTTCCTGAGGGGTCCCGGATTGCTGCCAGCTGGGTGGCCTAGGCTTCCCTCTGCGGGGCGGTCGTGGGGCAATGGCCGGGCCCCCCAACCAATCACATTGCACCCGCCTTGGCTGGCCTGGCACCAGTGCGTGTCATAGCATGGTCGTCTGGAAGGTCGTCCGGATGGTAGTTCTGCTGTTTGGTTGTTCAGTCGATTTGCATATTACACTTTTATTATTATAAAAGTGGGGATAAAACTTGCCACAAACCTGATTTAGAGGTACATCATGAGGATTAATTCATGTTGCACTGTTAAATTAAAAAATTGCCCCAGAGGATTAATTAGTATGTTTGTAACATACTTTGGCAACTTTGGAGAAGATGCTTTCTTGAATCATAGGTTGTCCTCCACAACATATCTTGAATTTATTCAACCTGAAAAGGATATTTCAGATTTTCGCTTTGGTAACTGATAAAAAAAAGAATAAACTCATTTTCCAATGTCTGTTTGATTAAAAGAAACGTTTTATCCAATTTAAATCTTTAATACAGGTAAAAATTGTTTGAAAACCCAGATATCTTTTAATACGTTCAGATTTAATTAAGAGGGAATAGCAAGTAACATTTTTAGAATATGAAGACAGGACTATTTAACGTAAAAGCTCTTCTGCTCCTAAGTCCTTAGAAAAGTTGGATGGAATGTTATAAACATCTTCTTGAAATGCATGTCTGGGCTCATAAAACAGCAAGGGAAGCCCTGACTAGTTTGGCTCAGTGGATAGAGCGTTGGCCTGCGGACTGAGGGGTCCCGGGTTCGATTCCGGTCAAGGGCATGTACCTTGGTTGCGGGCACATCCCCAGTAGGAGAAGTGCAGGAGACAGCTGATCGATGATTCTCTCTCATTGATGTTTCTAACTCTCTATCCCTCTCCCTTCCTTTCTGTAAAAAATCAATAAAATATATTTTTAAAAAAACCACAAAAAACCAGCAAGGGAAACGCCTAAGGGCTAACAAAGAAGAAGGAACTGATTTCCAGAGACGTTAGCCCATAAGCTCAATGCTGAAGCAGCCCTGAGGGGTTTATTAGCCTCAGTGACCAAGCTTTAATGGCCACACTGGGATAGGAGATGGTGCCTGGGACTTGTATGAATTAGAACTGAGAACTGTTTATAAAGCTACGACTCTTGAAGAGTTAAACTCTCTGGAAAAGGTAGACTAGGAAAAAAATCCTCTTACACATGCAGGTTGAAGACAAGGAAGCTTATCTGTTAAACTTGGGTTTAGGGTGGTGGGTGGTGGGAAATCTTCCTCAGAGCACATAACCTGTAGTTCATCTCTCATGAAGTTTTGGGACTTGAATTTAACACTTTATGAGGAAGGAGAAGGAGATTAAATAAATAGCACATTAGACCCTCCAAAACTTCAGATAAATTACCAGATAAAGACTATAAAACAATCAGTTGATATCATTACAGACTTAATAGAAGGCATTAAAATATGATGCATGGATAAGACATTCTCAAAAATACTGGGCAGATTTGGAAAACAACCTAATACAACTTCTAGAAATGAATACTATGGTGTTGAAATAATAATTTAAAAATACAGTGGACATGGGAAAAAGCAG